TTTTAAAATGTTGAATTTTTTGGAATTTTTATCAGTAATTACGAAATCATAATCTTCTGGAACGTTCTCAACAGTTCCAGAGGGTATTCATTGAAAAAAAATCTGCATCCTGGCATCAGGACGCATTGTCGCCAACGTGTTAATAGGGATTTGTCCACGGAAGCCGTAGGGAAAGGGATACGAATGCGTGGAGACTCCAGGGTTTCTTTTCTCTCTCTCTTTTCTTGTTAGGATTTGCGAATGTCTTCTTCCCCAGTTCGTCTTTTCATGTTTGGTTGGGACAAAATTTGGTTCAGGCAATTTGAAACCAATAAAAATGTGATACCATTTTAAACTATTCCAAATTTTTATTTTTACCATATCATGGAAAACGTACTAAGAGGCATTATAATCGCCACTCCCTTCCGAACGGTAAGGTTTTATTTCTTTCGGGCTCTACCGACGGCTACGATGCTCCGCTAGGCCGATGGCCGATCATTCCCTCGTACCAATCGTGTCTTTCCTCATCGGAAGGGGCGCCACCGGATTCAGCCTTTTCTCACTGGGATCGGGCGGGGCGGTTCCACTTCCGCCGTCGCTCGCCTCGATCGGGACAGGGGCCTCCATCCGGAGATTTCAGGATCTCTCTCGCCCGTGATCGATGCGATGAACCTTCGACTGTCGACTCCGACTTTCTTTACCCTATTGCTGTTTAGAATCAGTTGGCGAGTCTCGTTTATTTTTTCCCCCTTCGTTCTGAATGCTCTTCTTTGGTCACCGGCACCGGCAGCTTTGAAATGGGGTAGCTCAATATTATTACGGTAGCTGCTCGACCAGCGGAAGTGGGGGCTGGACATGGAGAGGGACAAGGGCCCTCGCCCTTCCACCCTCCACGTCCTTACGTGGTGACGGGAATCTCCCTGTTGGAGCTCTAAGCAGATGGGAAAAAACATTTTTCTATCTCTCGTGAAACATTATTTCCTGTGTTCCACGTGCCGTACTTTCCTTGTAATTTGGTCTCTCTCTGGGGGCATAGTCCCCCAACAGCATTGTTTGACGGGAAACATGCCCCTTTCCCCTCATGGGTTCTGTGCCCATGCATCAGTACAGCCTCAAGTTATTTTTTTTTTGGCCCGCCTTACATCGTTTATAACCTCTTCAGCTCTGATTGAACTCATTAATGAAAACCATTATTCAATTACTTTCACCCTTTCTCGACCTCTTCGGGACTCACGAACGTTCTGCCTTGGTCTAACCCACGAAGGGTCGTCATGATTACATCAGATAGGGCGAACCGAAAGGGAATTGCAGACGGTCCCAATGAATTGACAGACCGGCGATTTTATTTCCCTTTTGACACGGAGAGCAACAATTAACGCGGAATCTCGGCGTACTTTGTCCCGTCTAAACCGTTTGAACTAGAGCGCTGAAATTCGGAATGCCTTCATATCTCAGAATGATCATCATGCATGAATATCTGCAACAACAAAAAATCCCAGTCGCACAAGCAACTACGATTTCGATTACGGGAGCCGGAATACCTCATGTGTAGTAGGGATCTTCTGATTCAAATATTTATGAACGGAATACGAAAAAATATATAATAATGAAAACTTTACTCAAGACTCTAACCACGAAAAGTTGTTGAGTTGCAGGGATACAAAAACCGCTGGTTAGAAGGCGACCCTGCATTATGCATTGCATCTGACCTATCGACCCGTTGAAATAAATTAATCGGGCGATTCTTGAAACTACATCAATGAAATTGAGACGCGAGTCCTCCATGGCTGTCGTCGCAAATTTTCAGATTTACGGAAACACTGCACAATTGAAAATTTTCCATTTTCCTGAAGACATTTTCCTCTGTCAATCCTTACAAGTCGTGGCGAATCAATAGCGTCATTCGAAAAGCAAAGGGAGTTCGCGAAAAATGCATGCACGCCGAGTCGGAAGGCCGGATTAACGGGGAAGTTATTTATCGCAAAGGATTTATGAGATTAGGGATTATCCACGAAGTCTTAATGGCGGAGGATTTATGAGGATGGATATATCGCGGGAAAAATACTGTCAAGAACGGCGCTCTGTTTGAGTTTGACAAATTCATGGATCGAAAGGCATGCAAAAAAAATTGCTCCGGATCCTCATGTTGATGTCTTTCATCAAATATGCATTCATCAAATATTTATCCAATATGCATTCACGAGAGCCCCATGCTGGGCAGAATCTCATCGGTCTACGAAGCGGATTCATCTGACGGCGACACCGCCGATTTGTCTGTCATGCGGCCTTAGTAGACTTGCGTCTTTTTTTTTTTTAACCATGGAAGTGCGTTAGGGCACATTGATCCCGAATTCCGTCGCCAAACGATTGACTGAACGCTGAGCCATCATTCATGGGAGGGAAACAAAATCCCTCCTCGAAGGTACGAGCGTGTCAAAAGCATTTTGTTCGACCAGCCCAGAATTTATTTATTTCAATAGTGAGTGAGTGAATATTTGAATATTTATTAAAATAAGCAAGTGGACGTGCTATGTTGGCAAAAGACTATTCATTTCCGCAGAATGACTAAAAATTTTCGGTATCATGACCGATTTTATTGGATTTAAGGGAAAGGGAATCTCAAGGTGAGATGGTGATGAGAAGGTGATATGGTGGTGAGAAGGTGAGAAGGTGATAAGGTGAGACAAGCAAAAATGTTGTACGTGCCCTTGTGAAACGCAGACACGACCCCGATGGTGCAAGGAACCCTACTGATTCCAGTTATAGGATTAAAGGGTTCGTTCAAAATGTTTTCCCTCAAATTCCACACGCTTTCGCAAAAGCTTTACCCAGCGCTCACCGAGAAGTGTAATTTCGTCAACATTAGCTATTTCTATTTGGGCGAGTCTCATTGAAGCGATCGACGACCATTCCCTGCGACCAGTTTTCACAACCGCACAACAGATTCTCACTCTCTAGAGACCTTTAGTCGGTGCTCGCGAGCGTCCAGAAAGTCCGAAAGGGCATGGTCCGACAGGATTCCAACCCGAAATGGAACAAAAAAAAAAGCGAATCGAAGAATGCAGCGAGAAACAAGAAATGTAACTGGGAAAGGGAAACATCAAGGAATGCCAATCTCGCACAGCGACGGAATCTGCGAGGCGCACGCCACGTCGTCCCAGCAGAGTTGGCTGGTGTCCGTGGTGTTCGCCGGGGCTCCTCTCATCGAAGCGCAATGGTTGTGTCGATCCGGCTGAGAGGTACACCAATAAGACTTAGGTTGCGACATCAAACTGCCTGCAAGCGAGGAAAGGAAGCGAATGAATACGGCTATCGCAAAATATCAGACTTTCGAAGCATCTCACCGTCTCGCCATGTGTAAATCAGGCTCGGGTTCAAATCGTCCCCTCCGATCCAATAGTGCACCGTAATGTACGCTTTGATGTAGTTGTGCCAATCATCGCCTCTGTTGTCCATGGCCAGCTGCCCACCGCCGGCCTCGCAGGCAGCCTTAGCGTTCGTATAGTTGTAGTTCGCCAGCAATTTCTTCAGGAAGTAGATCTTCCCGCTCGTCACCATGCCGAAGACGTAGTCTTGCGGAACGCGGGCACCTGCGGAAAAAAAAACCACATCGACGCGAACTCTCTCATCGTAGCTTTTGGTGAAACTTTCTCACTGTTGAGATAGAGCTTCGAGGTGGTTCCAACGGCTGCTCCGACCTGAGAGTTCGGACCTCCGAGCCGACACGTGAGCTCGTCTCCTCCTTCCATTCCCACGGTGTAGATGGAACACACGGGATCCCTTTCAGAATCGAGAAGAATCGACCGAAAATCAAATGCAGGACTCAAGAATGCGGACGCAGGAATGCGGACTGGGGCACCGAGGGTGCGAGCGTACCGCTTGCAAAGGGCTGCACATAGCAGAGGGCGCTCGACAGACGCTTCCTTGAGTGGAGAGAGGATGCTTGCATTCGTGACTTCAGGCAGCAGATCATAATACTTTCCTTGGATGATCACGCCCTTCACGCTCTCTCGGGAGGCGTGAAAGAGGAGGACGAGGAAGTGGACCTGGAAAACAATAGATCTGTCTGGTGTGAACGGAATTTCATTTTCGTAACTGAAATTGTTTTCAGCTGATCCATTTATTTTTCAATGGAAAGGAAACTCACGTTCTGCAGAAAATTTCCCTTCATCGTGGCAAGTCTGAATCACAAGAATCTGCTCGCAACAATGACCAACAAGCTCACTCCAGACATTGGTCTTCAATTGAGCTTGACCCGAGTAGCAACGTCCGCTTCTTTTGCGCAGCGCACGTATTCTGAAGAATTCCAATCCTGATATTGACGTCTCATTGCGCCTATGCTGCTGCTAGGCGCGGCGAATCACACTGTTTATATGGCGAATGGCCATCCTCATCACTGAACGGGACTGATTCCAGAAACTCCCATCTTTCCAAGGGAAGACTTTAGAGAACGGGGGAAGTCTAATCGGATGGGAGATCTTGACCCCGAGACAAAAACGAATTTCCATTGGGTGCCTATCAATTGTGCCCTACCTCGCCATTCCCCCCAGGCATTAACCTCGCTTCAAGCTAAATTAACTCTCCAATACCCATTAAATGCCACGGAGGTTCTTAAGTCGCAATTTGCCCGTGTATACCTCACACTTTGGTTTAAAAAGCGGGAGTGGGGAGGGGCAAAAAGTACCCTTTGCCCCCCAATTTGGAAAAGTGTGTGGCATTAATGATCCCCACCCCTCAAGTTCCTACGCCCTTGGGACCTATAGGTTTCCTATGAGAATGTGGAGGTATACGTTACAGGATCTATTAAGTTCCTATGGGATTCCTAGGTTTCCTATAGGATCTATTAGCTAGGTTTCTATGAGAATCTCATAAGTCCGTGACGGACAGCACATCTGTTATGGCAGTGGGACATACAGAAATTATTCATAGAAAAGCGCTTCTATAATTCCTCCCCTCCCCCCTCCTCCTCCCCATCCCTGTATCCGTCTCTGTGTTTTTTGGGGGGGGGGCGGGGGGGAGGGGGAGGGGGGGGGATATGAAGGATCCAGGTAACAAACAAATATTCAATCAGCATTGTATGAACGGTAAGTTCCCAGAGTCGTGGGGGCATTGCATCTAACATTAATTCAATATTTAAATGTCGCTTATCGCAATTCTCAGATGAACGTCGAAGTTCAACACTAGCTGAACCTTGGGTCAACATTTAAATGTCACTTATTGGAACCTATATGATTCCTGTAAATTTCCTTCGAATTCCTGTATGCAATTTTCTATAGGGAAATTTTTATGGAGAACGTGAATTTCGTACATATTCAAAAATAGACGGAACAACACGGACAACAGGGACAATAATTGGCACAACATCAACTACAACATCATCAACTACATCAGAGCAAGGATTCCATCACAACGGATTGGAAGTGATGATTTTAATGTGAACGCCACACTTAAGAGAAACGAAGTCCGGAGCGATGCCCTATTCCTCTTCCGCCATTTTCATATTCATATATATATTTACCAAATCGTTCTGACGAAGACACGTTAGACATCTCGGAACCCATCCACTTGCTTTTCCTGCGGGTTCCACCAATCGTCAGAGAACCTCATGAACGATTTATTATCTCAAGATAATAAAAAAAAATAGATGTGTCTGTCAATGGGTGCGTATTTTTATGCTCGTGTATGCTAAATTGAAAGGGAATGAGGTTCTGAAATGAGTTGCTCGAACTCGAGGTGTTCCAGGGGAAACAGGGGGAAAATTAAAATGATGAAGAAAAAGAAAGGAGTTTCGAAGACTATAGACTGCGTTTGAGGCGGACGTCATCGTACAGGTCCTTTCAACTCCAGGACTCCGTGCCGTGTTATATAATCACTTTGGCATTTAAATGGGCTCGCTTTAGTGGGAATTGGTTCGGTAATGATTCATTTCGACGCAATTTTTTACTACCAAGACCGATCGGCTCATTCAAAAGTGATTCATTCTCTTCTTTCGGCTTGAAGGGAGCTATAAACTTAGGGAGAAATTAAATTTTCCTGGCGGAAGGACATGTTTTTTGCTGGACCAAGTTTCAAACTCTCACATTTGGCAAAAAAGCGCTGGACACGTTGGTACCCTCGAGGGATTCTGCATGCCTTCAACGAACGGGGAGGAATGATGGCTCAGCGTCATGGCTCAATCGCTAGGCGACGGAATTCGGGATCAATATGCCCTAACGCATTTCCATGGGGAAAAAGGAGGATGCCGCGTGACCGAGGCCGTCTTACAGACAAATCGGCGGTGTCACCGTCAGACAAATCGGCGGTGTCACCGTCAAACAAATCGGCGGTGTCACCGTCAAACGAATCGGCGGTGTCACCGGCAGACGAATCCGTCTTCGTGGACCGATGAGATTCTTTCTGCACGGCATGGGGCTCTCGTGAATGCATATTTGATGAATGCATATTTGATGAAAGACATCAACATGAGAATCCGAACCAATTATTGGATGCATTCGGTCCATGAATTTGTCAAACCTGTCAAATCGCGTTCCCTCTTTGACAGTAGTTTTTTTTTCCCGCGATTTATTCCGCCTCATAAATCCTCCACCATTAAGACTTCGTTCATCCCTTCTCACAAATCCTTCTCAATAAATAACTTTCTCGTGAAATGTCCTTTGACTTTTCAAATGAGGCCATTGATTTTTCGCGATTTGCAAGGATCTATCATTAAAAAAACAAAACATTGCTTCCGGGAAAATGGAAAATTTTCAGTTTTGCTGTTTTTGTAAAGATGGAAGTTTGCGACGAAAGCCGTGAAGGACTCGCGTCTCGTTACTTTCGTTACTGCAGTTTAAAAGAAAACCATGATATATTTATTTCAACGCCGATTTCTTTACGTCGATCTTCGATAACTTATATTTTGATTAAATTTATTATACAATGTCATTATGCCCGAAAGGGTGGTCAAAATGTAGGTGCACCGTTTAACCTCCGATTTTGACATCCCTGTCAGTCAGCAACTGTTCGTGCTAAAGCCTTGACTAATTCGCTGGAAATTGGCAGAGAAATTCAAAATTTGCATAAAAACATAATATTATTTAAGGACTAAAAATTTGGCCTTTGAACTCAGCATGAACCCCCCAAACAAAAATCTAAAAAAAAAAATACAATGAAAAATTAATGACTCTCCTATTGATATACAAAATTATAGATAAGTAATATTTTTCATATTCCGTTAATAAATTTCTGAATCAGAAGATCCATACCACATATGAGATATCCCGGCTCCGATCGAAATCGTTGTTTACGTGTGCGACTAGGATTTTGTTGCAAATATTCGTGCATGATGATCTCTCTGAGATATGAAGGGAATTCCAAATTTCAACGCTCTAGTCCAGGGTTGTCAAGCGTACGGCCCCGCGGGCCGGATCCGGCCCACGGAGGTGGTTCATCCGGCCTTGAAATTTCCGCTTGCATTGACTGTAAGCACAAATTTCGGTGAAAAATTCTGGGTGTGGCCCGTAGGCATCTGCAGGGTAAGGAGAGTGGCCCGCCGACCGATTTGAGTTTGACAACCCTGCTCTAGTCCAAACTGTTTAGAAGATACTGAGTCCCAAAGTTAGCCCCCAATGGGCTAACTGAAATGAACGGGTCTCATTGGATCTCATCAGATCCAATGAGACCCGTTCAATGGCGTAGCTTGGTTGGCATGGGGATGGCATGGGGTTGGCATGGGGTTGGCATGGGGTTGGCATGAGGTTGGCATGGGATGGAATGCCCCCCCCCCCCCGACATCCTCCAGTTCAGCTTCTTATTATTGAACTGTGTAATTACTGGTATGGTTAGGGAATGGGGTACTCACTAAGTGAGGTGGCCTCATCCGCCATTTTTTTTGCAGAGCGAAGTCATGGATGGTTTGGAAAAATGTAATTTCCTTGCTCATTAATTTCCTGTGGGTGAAAGTGCGAGACCGCCGAGTCGTTCTTCTTATACTTCGCAAATAATTCTTGATAATTATGAATTTCGAAAAGGAGCGGTCCGCGGTTGCACCGTCACTGGTAGAGTAAAAAACAGTAAGCATGCCGTGAAAACGTCCGGAAAAATCTAGGTATCAAGACACCAAGGTATCAAGACACCAAGGTATCAAGACACCAAGGTATCAAGACACCAAGGTATCAAGACACCAAGGTATCAAGACACCAAGGTATCAAGACACCAAGGTATCAAGACACCAAGGTATCAAGACATCAAGGTATCAAGACACCAAGGTATCAAGACATCAAGGTATCAAGACACCAAGGTATCAAGATATCAAGGTATCAAGATACCAAGGTATCAAGATACCAAGGTATCAAGATACCAAGGTAGTTTAGTGGTATCAAGAGGCGATGACGCTCATTTAGATACAACGTGCCGAGGTCGAGCGTTCCTTTATTTTTGGGTGGACCGAATCCTCTTAAAGCGAATTATTTTTACGTACTGTATCGTGATTTTATTATTATTTTTTCGTAGCTGCATACTGCCTAGTCCCTCACGTCAACAACAATTTTTTCCCATGAAATCATCTAGTTTCATCCTAGAAATATTGACGGAAGGGACAGCCACCACGTCGTCGTCAAACGCATATTACCACTCCACAAGTGAAGAAGTCCCCGTCTCGACCCGAGCCGCACCTGCGGTTAACGCAACGGGAGTCGATTGCCTCTCGTTCTCTCGCTGCCATCGAACTGGAGGAACCTACCGCGTTATAAGTGATCTATTTTCCTTTAATTATCTGGAAAGCCTGGAGCCTCCTTTATCGTTCTCGCGGCCCTCCTCTGCACCCCCCTCGAGCGCAATCGACTCGGCCTCATTTGTTGGCCTCCAAAACCGGATGCAACTGGCGTCGCACCAGCCGCCGCATGCAACGGAAGAACAACGCGCGAAGTCCCGCTTGCAACCGAACGACGAACGAATCCATCAATTCTGCCGACATTTTTGGGCACCGCGTGCGAGGAAAACCCGATGGAAACTCCCTGACCTTTCTCTCCGTTCGCCTCCCCCAGTTTATCCTCGCCGATCGCGCCGATCGCGCCGATCGCGCCGAGAGACCTGCCGTCATTTCGACCGACGTGAAGAATTTTGCATTTACTTTTACTTTTTTTTTTTTAATTAAACCTCTTGAGCCGTTTCTTGCTCCCCTCATCCAAAAGACTGAAATCTCGCTCGGCTCTACCCCCATTCGTCCCCCTTTATAGAAAAACCAATTTTTGTGTCGTCGGCAAATTTACTTGTCATATCCCTCTTTTCATGGAATTCACAGGATTGTTTAGTACCTCACCGTATGGTAATCCTAGTCTCACCATAACAATTAATAATGCTGGACACTAAATCATTTATCATCCCACATATTCGAGACAGAGCCCAGGAGTTAAGCGAGCTCACGAGAACTCATCCACGCAGGCAAAGTTGATCCCCGAAAAAAGATCTAAAAACTCGCTCACGCGCTTCGGCTCTCTGGCCTTCGTTTCCTCATCTCTGAGGGCCGAATGGGAATGAGCATTCGGCTGCATAGGGCGGGAATGAGCATTCGGCTGCATAGGGCGGGAATGAGCATTCGGCTGCATAGGGCGGGAATGAGCATTCCAGCGAGAGACGTTGCAATGTTGCCTCGACGTTAGACGCGACTTTTCAAAAAAATTGCCGGGCCGAGAGTCCCGGGCGAGCGGGTTGCACTTCGAGGAAAAATGCATTTCGGACTTCCTCGAATGGATTTCCCGTAATTAACTCGTGAGGCTCACCCTTAATCCCGCGGATTAAGGGTGACTCTCTTCGCCTTTCTTAGAGATCGGTACGACGTTCGCCAGCAGTAAAGTAAAGGAATAGGGAATAGGGTACTTCGGTACTTAGGTATTTCGTAAAAGCTGCTTTCAAATTACGATTCTTAGCGGAACCGAGATTTCTCTCGAAAGTTCCTGGAAGACCCGAATAGCACGGAATAGGCCTAAGAAGTTCGTAAAGGCCTCTCGGATCTCGAAAAAGGCACTTCGAGCGAACGGAGAGAAGCGCGGGCATCCCGCCGATGCTTGCTCTCTCCGTGCTGGGCGTCGACTGACCGGCCGCGATTGTTGAGTCGATTGTTGGATGTTGTTGGATTAGGCTTTCGGCTGGAGGTCTGGGGCCTTCTTCACGAAACTTTTCTTTAACTTTACTCTAACTTTACTTTAACTTTACTCTAACTTTACTTTAACTCAACTCAAAATCCATTTCACGAAGCCTCCTTAGTTTCCATGGCAACATTATCAGAGACATGCTGTCTAGTGTCTGAACGTTGAAGGAGTGGAATCCTTTGCGATTCACATATACGTGTTCGTTGTCTTTTGGAGCCACGATCGGGACATATGTCCCATCGATGGGACGTTTGGGAAGTTGAATGCTTGCAAGAAGCCATTCTTCAGACTGACGAGATCTTCTCTTGATGCAGGGAACACAACGAACTTCTTTATGTTTTCAACGATGGCCTCAAACGGAACGGATGCACCGAAATATGGTAGGATTGGAAAGGCCTTGGCCAATCCCGAGCATGGAATAGATGGAACCTGTGGCCAGGAATCGAAGTGCCACACGATACAAGCTGGATCGGTAGTGCTCCACAACGGGCAGTGTACCCCTTTGTATTTTCACCTGGACTAGGGCACAGATATCCAAGATGAGGCTCCGTGAGAGTCTAAATCTGCTCCGGAGTCCTTCATCATCGTACACTTCCGAGGGACTATTTCGGTCGAGAAGCACTCTTTCCCGACGAAGCCGCCTCCGAATTAGGTGAAGCCTTGCAGCCATGGTCGTGTCAACACGGAGAGGGGTAAGCCGCAAGTGGCAGGAGGAATGCACAGTCATCGCTTGGGGCATGTTATCAAGAATGCACACAGGTGGGCAGGGTTTCCGTAGCGCGCAGAGAGGTTAAAGTCGAGATTGAGAGACCTCCAAAGGTGTCTTTATTTTTTCTTTATTTTGAGTCGGGATAAAGTCGAAATATAGCCGAAATAAAGTTAAAGAAAAGTTAAAGACGAAATATAGCCGAAATAAAGTTAAAGAAAAGTTAAAAAGAAGTTTCGTGAAAAAGGCCCCTGGCCTGCAAGTTCTTGCATGAGACCGGGCGGACCGTTAACGTGTGTGGTCTGTACGTTCAAAGATGAGCTCTGTCGGTCGAAGTTCGAGACGAGTTGGTGGGGGCTATTACGCGTGGATGGCGACAGAGGTTCCGAGCAACTAGCAAATGACAAGGATATTCATTTGTTACCGTTCATGACGCACTTGGGGAGGATATAAAAAAAATACTACATGGTGGGAAGAACAAAAGCTCCAGCCTCCATTTCCTCAGTAGTCCGACTTATGGGGATAAAGTTCACCAAACGGAGTAAACCTTAGCTGTCAACAAAGTGTAAAATGCCGTCATACAAAGGGGTGTTCAGAAGATGAAAAAAAAAAAGATATGTCGCCGAAGAGCTCTTCTTTGAACGAACGGACTACACCACCGAAGCCGCGCTTCTAAACATAGGCCGTTGGCTGGCACGCTTGCGCGCCTTGCCAAGCAGACGACGCCCCTGACGTCACCACGAAGTGAGAGGGGGGGGGGGGTAAACGCCAGTCGCAGTGGAGGGCGCGGGTTGTTTTCGTTCGTGCCATTTGCACGAAGGGGAGACCTTTATCAGCTGCTCATTTGTCCAGTGGAGCATTTGAACGTGAAGCCGTCGCGAAATCCTTGTGGCGGCGCAAGCTGAATCTCGCGATCCGGCCGATCCAGTCGATTGGAAGCTTCAGCTCGAGCTTGCCTTGGGCTGGACCTAGGCCTAAGGGCTTAAACCCTAACATAGACCGGTTTGGCCTCGGTATTGTCTAGAGTGTTCCTGGAAGCCCTCTGTTCAAGCCGAGGCCTGGCCTCAATGGATGCCTTACGTGTAGATTCGGAACGAAGTCTTCATTTGCAGCCTGGCAGTTTCAGCATCATGATGATTTCATTTGGGATTTGTTTTTGAGATGAATGCATCTCTTGAAAGACACGCATGGACATTACCAATGTTGAGTTTCTGGCCATGATGAACTCTCGCAAAAATTTTTTTAAGGTTTTAGCCACTAATGCTGTACAGTGATATTACATAATGACTCACTTCAAAGTATTGGAAAGCTTCATTTCACTATTCATCTCGAAGATGGGGCATAGATTCATGGTTTGGAAAGGAAGTGAACCCATGCCTTGAGATTGCTTCAAAACTTTCCAGGCTGTCTTTGGTAATTGCCACTTTTGAAGCCTTAATGATAGCAGTTAAATAACAAGATTTACTGCAGAGTGCACACCAGGATCAATTTTCGTGAAAAAGACTCGGAAACTTTGCTCTTGATTGAGCCTTTACTGATGTTTTCATATTTTTTTTAGGTCTTCCACACTCACATCTGGTTTGATTTAGGGGCCAAATTCCATCCTTAACCCTTTTGTCCTTTACCCAAGGAGTGTCATTTTTGGTCCCATTTTTTACCAGCAGTGTTTGTAAAAATGTTTAAATCCTTATCATGCTACTTCCAATTCCCCTGCACATTCCCTTATTTAATCCTTATCAAAATGTAAATATGGAATGTCATAAAGTTTGAACTAATATGTGTGGACATGCCATGAGTCATTTTTAATTCAGACGTATGAAGTAAGGAATGGTTGACCTATAATGAACTTGATCAGGCCATCATTGTGTGTCGTGTGGAAGTGTAGAAGCACTCTGTGTGCTAGTAGTTAAAGTTGCAGCCCAAAACGTTTTTCATTATAGGATGTATGTCTCATGGAGCTATTGATGAATTTTGTCCTGACAAATAGTAATTAAAAAAATTAGGCCGTTGTGAAGGATTAAAAAAAACCCCATGAAAAGTTCATTCTTTTCTAGGGAATCCTTTTAATTGAAATTCAGCAATATAACAGGTAAGATTTCTCACCTATTATGGTGGGCTACTCTCAAAAGTGACCAATTAATTTTCTGGATCTGATTTGCTATCTTCTGCTTATGGAGATGTGAAGAAAGTCCTTGGTTTCCATAAATTGTCTGTCACTTGCCCTCATTTTGTATGACTAGATTGTTTAGCTTAGGCCTTGAAGCAAAGAAAATCCTTGTCACCATTTGCTCAATAGTGTCATTACCGTCATTGTCTCATGAGTCTCAGTCTAAATGCTCACCTGCTATGTGCTTACCTTGATATTAATTGCTTAGCTCAGCATTGGAACTATTTTTGTTTTGATGGGGTCACAATATGTATATGGTGAAGTTAATTGCATTATGTTCATAATGGGCCTAGGCATATAGAAAAATCTGTGATCTCTGAGCCTTGCTGCATTCCTTCGTTTTAGACATACACTAGGCCTACCTAACATAGGCCGATAGTATCTTGCTCACCATGTCGAAAGTGAAGGAGGGTGTGAAGCCCGCCAAGGCCCATGGTATGAGTCGATCTGTCTCCCAGGTCTATGAGAAGAAGGAAGTCCCCATGGGGCCCAGCTTCATCCTACAGAGCCTGGAGCCCAATCTGTCCATCACTCTTCCTCTTCCACAGGTATTGATGTGGTTTATAAATATTTGGTATATTTTTTTTTTTACCAGTATCTCAAGCTTCCTTTAATTTTGGGAAACTTTAGGAATCCCCATTTAAAAAAAGAGAAAAAGGAACAATCTGATGAGAGTAACGACAGTTATTCTAAAGAGAGTTGTGGCAAACTTCACTTTTCTCATCTTGGTAGTTGTTAATTTGCATGATGAGCATTGCGTGATGCACAAAACATTTTTTTTTTCTCAGTCAAAGGAGGTATTTTATCTTCCTCCATACTTTATGCTGAATTTTATCAAATATTTACTTTTGTAATGAGTCAAGCCTTTTAGGCCTTCGAGGGGCTCATTCCTTCATACCATATTATGTGATTTTAATTAAATGAGAGAATGGATATTGGCTTACGCTGACCAAAATATTCTCAAAGGATGTTGTCGCTGGCGATCGCATCCAGACGCTGACTGTGATTGCCGTGAGTGGGAAGAGGTATAACGTCACGTGCCATCTTAATCACACGAAACCCCCACACATCCTAAAGGTTAGTCTCTGTCCTGCTCTGTTCCCCTTGTTGCAAAGACATGTTGTTATTCCGTTTCTTGCATGTCACTAGGCATGTTTGGGAAAGGAAGGGATCACGGAGCTGTATCTGTACGGGTTGGTGATGCTGCACGAGAGCGAGGAGATGCTCCTCGATGCAAAGATGACCCTGGCCGAGTCGGGTCTGGTGAAGGACTGGAAGCCCATGTCTTTCATCACCCTTTACATCCAGTTCCTCATTCACATCCAGCCATCTTTCTACCTGTGAGCTCATGTTTCCTTAACTTCCCAATGGGAAATGCAGAAGATATCTCCTTTTGTTCCTTTGTCTCTGGTATTACTTTAGTATTTATTTTTACTTTATTTTGTAAATAATGTGGTGAAGCTATGAAAACCGAAACCAAATCACATATTTCCTGCCTAATTTCTCTTTTCTGGAATCACCATCATCACCAGATATTGATATCTAGAATAATGCATCCTCCCTCAGGTGGGAGGGAGGAATCAGGTTAGGGGGAGGTAAAGGGTAGGGAGTCTTTACATAAGATTGAAGAGACAACTCTTCTGGATTGTAACAATTGAGCTGGAAAAAGCCTTTAGTGGTATGAAAATCGGTTTTAAAATCAAGGACCTACAAATTGATACTGAATTTCTCACTTCTATCATCATCTGTCTGCCATTTCATATCATGAAATGCTCATGAACCAGTGTGGTCATGGTAAGTGGTGCCTAATTTTGCTTCTGTGTATTTTTTATTTTATATGTACACATGTGCTCAGTTGGTGCAATGTTCTGTCCACACCACATGTTTGGATGTGACTGGAAACATCACATTTTCATTTTCACAAGGGAGGAAAAAACACGAGAGATGCTGTACGTCGAGCTGCGGAGGCGGCTGATGGAGGGAACGCTCGCCTCTCCCCCACTTGGGCTCCATGCTTCCCTCCATCTTGTCTCCTTTGCCCTCCAGGCTGAGTTTGGCAACCACAGCTGCTCCTGGGTATGTCATTTCAAGTTGTTTTTTGCTCTTCTCAACTCAAATTACAGCAAAAGGAGCATGAAGGATTTAGTTGAGTTCACCTGGTGACTTTCTCTTGTTGCCAATTTGAGTTTTGAGAAATTTTTGAGTATGTATAAGCAGAGACAATATGGCCTCACCCAACTCTCCTCTCATGACTATTTTTTCCCCTCGTCAAGTCCTTGGCCAATATATTTTCCCTCGAACATTTGCTGCCACAGAGATGCAACTTCACCTTCTCCTTATAAGCCTTGCCAAGTAATGATGCTAGTGGAGTTTTTGAGTGCCTCCCATCATATGTCTACCTAAAAAGGCTCATCTATTTGCAACTTTAGCTACCTTCCCCATCCCATTTCTTTTGCCTGGAGCCAATGAAATTACCTTTCTTAAATTGAAAAGAATTTCTTTTTCATACCAGTGCTTGCTTTGATGATCATCCTTGTGAGTGGTTTTAAGTCTCTATTAAGCTGCTGGATTAGTGAACAATGATCCCTTCAAAAGCTTATTCATGGTATTATGGTCTCCTTCTAAACCTAGTTCAACCACTGCTGGTGTTGTCACTATCTGAGATGTGCATGTTAGTAATGCCCTAGCTCACTATTTGCTACTCATTTCATGTCTGATTAGTTTTACAGGAAGCTACCTTTCATTGGCTTGAGTTTGTGAGGGGGTGGTAAACATTTATTGAGAATGTTGCAAATATTCAAGCTACATAGGAAAATATTTTTTTATTGCTTCCCATTTCAAAGAAACAAAGATGGATTGACTACAGCTTCTTTTTTCCTGCTTTAATCTGTATCCCCTATTGGAAGGCCTTGTTTTGACTGATCTAGATGCAGCATCTCAATAAAGCGTATAATTATGAGATCATGTTGGGCCTATGCTTCGATGGAGCCTGTCAATTTAATATTCTTCTCACTCATCAATGTAGTGTTCACTAGGCTGGACTGGGGCTTCTCATGATCACTTCAATTAAAGGATTTGGCTTCAATAGAAGTATTCTTTCCTTTGCACCATCTGCTAGGTGAGCATGCGGAAGAAGAAATACTTGACTTACTTCCTGCCTGAGCATTACCTTCCATCTCATCTGGTCCCTACCGTTGTGGCTGAGGAGAAGCTCCTGTGTGGGAAAATGGAGGAGCTGCATCGGTGCATGGACGGCTTGAGTCGCGCAGAGGCGCGGGATGGCTTCCTCGAGGAAGTGTCTCACCTGCCCTCCTATGGGAAACGCCTCTTCAAAGTCTTAAATGTTGGTGAATTTTAGCAAAATATTTTTTTTAGAAAGAGGTCTGCATGAGATGGGAAAGTTTCTGTAAACAGCCACTTTGGCTGTGCCATTTCCAATACAGGCTCAATTTGAAGAAGTATTGCCTTTTGTGAATCCAGGTTTTACTGTCGAAAGTATGGCAGTAGAAAGATGGGTGGAGACCATATGCATCTGAATTTTCTGCAGCTGTAAATGAAGCCTTAACAGGCATGGGACAGATTTCCACCTCATGTGTTAAAAAACTGTGAAGAGGTTATACTGCATTGTGATTGTCGCATAATTCCATTGTCTTTGCTCTGATCTTGGGAGACAGAGGGGAAAGGCAGAGAAGGAGAATCGGGAAGTGCTCGAGCTATGGTTGGGGGTGGATGGAATTTCCCTCAAGAGGCCCTGTCACTACCCGCCGATCCTGGATCTACCGTGGGAGGATGTGCAGAAGGTGTCCTTCCATGGGAACACGGTGGCCTTTTCGCACGGTTCGGCGGCCCGCGTTCCACTTCCGCAGAAGTGGGTCCGCAAAAAGAGTCAGAACGTCAAGCTTCGGCCTGTGCATCTCAGGTTGGGAAATCCCTTTTTCCCCTTTCCTAACATGTTCACACCAGACCACATGGATTCAGCTGCAGCAAAAGTGTATCAGATGCAAAATTCACACCTTCAGGACTCTGCTATGAAAGTAAATCTAATAGCTGTCAAATCTTTATATTCTTTTAATGAGCTTCACTTACTCACCAATTCATTGTTTAATAAGCCCATTTCAATGCAACCAGGAAATTTAGGGGAAAGCAGCCCTTCTTTTAAGAATTGTTCCATGGGGGATGCAAATGAAAAGTGGGATTTTTCCCAAGTTCGGCACTTCAGGAACTACTTNAATAGAAGTATTCTTTCCTTTGCACCATCTGCTAGGTGAGCATGCGGAAGAAGAAATACTTGACTTACTTCCTGCCTGAGCATTACCTTCCATCTCATCTGGTCCCTACCGTTGTGGCTGAGGAGAAGCTCCTGTGTGGGAAAATGGAGGAGCTGCATCGGTGCATGGACGGCTTGAGTCGCGCAGAGGCGCGGGATGGCTTCCTCGAGGAAGTGTCTCACCTGCCCTCCTATGGGAAACGCCTCTTCAAAGTCTTAAATGTTGGTGAATTTTAGCAAAATATTTTTTTTAGAAAGAGGTCTGCATGAGATGGGAAAGTTTCTGTAAACAGCCACTTTGGCTGTGCCATTTCCAATACAGGCTCAATTTGAAGAAGTATTGCCTTTTGTGAATCCAGGTTTTACTGTCGAAAGTATGGCAGTAGAAAGATGGGTGGAGACCATATGCATCTGAATTTTCTGCAGCTGTAAATGAAGCCTTAACAGGCATGGGACAGATTTCCACCTCATGTGTTAAAAAACTGTGAAGAGGTTATACTGCATTGTGATTGTTGCATAATTCCATTGTCTTTACTCTGGTCTTGGGAGACAGAGGGGAAAGGCAGAGAAGGAGAATCGGGAAGTGCTCGAGCTATGGTTGGGGGTGGATGGAATTTCCCTCAAGAGGCCCTGTCACTACCCGCCGATCTTGGATCTACCGTGGGAGGATGTGCAGAAGGTGTCCTTCCATGGGAACACGGTGGCCTTTTCGCACGGTTCGGCGGCCCGCGTTCCGCTTCCGCAGAAGTGGGTCCGCAAAAAGAGCCAGAACGTCAAGCTTCGGCCTGTGCATCTCAGGTTGGGAAATCCCTGTTTCACCTTTCCTAACATGTTCACACCAGACCACATGGATTCAGCTGCAGCAAAAGTGTATCAGATGCAAAATTCACACCTTCAGGACTCTGCTATGAAAGTAAATCTAATAGCTGTCAAATCTTTATATTCTTTTAATGAGCTTCACTTACTCACCAATTCATTGTTTAATAAGCCCATTTCAATGCAACCAGGAAATTTAGGGGAAAGCAGCCCTTCTTTTAAGGATTGTTCCATGGGGGATGCAAATGAAAAGTGGGATTTTTCCCAAGTTCGGCACTTCAGGAACTACTTGTTTATGTTCCAGCTTTATACCATATTTAGAATTTACAATCATCAGCAACCACCCCCTCCCCCCTCATATGTGTCTATGTTTATTTTTTTATTGTCATTGGTCAAAGTATGGGTTTAATTGTTTTCTTTCATTCAAGCATTTCCCCTGTTATGTGATATGTAATGATGATGTTTAACAGCTCACCCTTCTTTCTCTCTTTTTGAGCTTTTTCGTGACTATAATTGAAATTTTCGTGCTTTTTATGTAGTTTTCATATTTTGTATAAATTAACCAATTGTACCAAATATTATATATTAAACATTTATTTTTTTTTTTTTATGTTTTTTTTTTATTGTTTTTTCTTTTTTTTTTTTTTTTTTTTTTTTTTTTTTACAGAGCCAAAGATTTATTCCTGTGGATGTCAGTATTCTCCCGTTGGCATGGCAATCTGGAATCTGGAATCTTTGAGACTCGTCATCCTGCTTGTGAGTTACGTATTCACTAGGAGGATCATCCTATCATCCTAAAATGGGCGTAATTATGCACGGCTCAGTTCCATCAGAGGCCTTCTTTTACCTTTTAGTATTTTAATCTTCAGATATTTAATTAAATGTTTAATATATAATATTTGGTACGATTGGTTAATTTATGCAAAATATGAAAACTACATAAAAAGCACGAAAATTTCAATTATAGTCACGAAAAAGCTCAAAAATGCAAAAAAAGATATAATTCTGATAGCGGCCTTAATTCAGGTCTGAAAAGGTTAATGTATAACTGATGGATATTATTCTTTACACATTTTCTGCCATGTTTTAGGTTGGTTTGTTTTTTTTTTTTTAAGTAAAAAAATAGTGCATTTTTTCTGCTCTTAAAGATGGCCTCATTGATTGTGTATTGTTTCTTTGTGAAGGTTCCACAGACGATTCTGGGTTTGCCATGTCCCGTGAGAACGATGCAAACAGAGATCTGGAGCAGCAGAAGAGGGAGGGGCAGCCCAGGCGTTCCCAGTCGGTCGACTCCCTTCCGAATCCGATCCGTCGCCTCTGGCTGGCCCGAGGTCCTTCCTTCCCTAGGCATGAGGCCTCCCTCAATAATTCCTTTAGTAACAACTGCATAAACAACAGTGATCTACCCGGAGCACGACGTGAGTGAGCACTCTCCAGTAGTTTTTAGTTTTAGGTTCACACTAGCTTTTTTAAATCTTGAGTCCTGGTGCCTTAATTCAGCTCAGTGGGAACACGTTCAGGTGGTTGTCAATGAGTTCCCACATACTTAAATGTTTTTCAAATATGAGTCCCTCCAAGAAAATATGAGTCAGGGACTCGTTATTGCGAGTTAACGTGAACCCTGAGGTCTATGATTAATGGTGAACTACAACTAAATGTTTTCCTCTCCCAAACTTAAAAATGAAGACTGTTACAATGGTTGTAAAAGGTGGTTCTGACATTCAGTATTTAATTTAAAATCCCTATCCTAGTTCTTTCAGTTTTTAAGGTGGAAGAGATCTACATTAAGTCTAGAAGAAGTCTAGCAGTCTGCTAAACACTTCCTCAATTGCAGTTATGGAAGTGATGTCCCAGTGTGAGGGGAAGGGGTGGGATGCTGCCCTGCAGGAGACAGTCTCCACCTCGCTCATGGAGAAGCTGACCGCCTGCTCCATCGGGGTGGGGCCGACCCGCAAGATCCATGCCGTCAGGCAAGTCATATTGCTTTTCTGCCTTCCTTTCTCATTCAGCCTTCTTTCTTTGAGATGGGAAGGAAAGGCAATTGTAACAGGGCTTCCTGGGACAATAAACTTAAGAGTCACAGGCAGGGAAATCACTCAGATTCCTGAAAATCAAGAAGTCAGCAAATTGTTACAATCCCTTCAATCCATCATTAGTCATTTATGCACAAGGTGATGGGATTTATAGGGGAGGTGAAGATTGGTGTTTGCTCTTGTAAGCTTACTGCTACTGCAAATATATATTTCCTGCTTTTTATTGTTCCTTGCATATTTGTACATTTGATTCATGAAATTATTTGGGGAGCATGTTATTTGGTGACAAAGCCATCAAGAGTTGGTCCTGGATTTTTAATTTTTTTAAAGAGATCTGAAAAGACTTTTGTTTGGTATTAATACATAAGAACACAAGACATAAGAAAATTGGGTTGAACACTGAAGAAGAAACCAAGCTTTTCTCCCTTGAATATGATCCCCTCAAAAACTCTTATCAGGGAGTGAAAAAAATGTCATGAGCTTTGAGATGTTCAAAACATCAAGGATGTTCAAAACATCAAGGGAGGCCTTGAGTTCCCACTCATGCACATCATCAAAGGAAAAGAAAATCTTTTTAATGTGACATGGATCTAACAATTTCATTTTCTCTTTTTAATTTATTCACCTATCCCATCTTAGTGGGGTTTGAGTTTGAGCAGACCTGGGAGCATTTCCCAAAGTTCCTAATCTGGGTGAAGGGACAAAGGTTAAGCTTATGTATACTATGCCTCATATGACAAAGTTCCAGTTCCTGCAGTCGCTTCACTTCCGGATGGTCATCTCCATGTCAGGTAGGACCAAGAATCTTTTTGGAAGTCTTTCAGGGGGCATGCTAGAAGTAGCAGTCTGACCTGGCAGCTTTCACTGCATTCTTTAAATTTGAGTGAATATTTGCTATGGGAAAAATACATTAATTTTTTTTAAAGTTTGATGTACACTCTTAGCATTTGTGAGCGGAATTTTTTGGCACGTTTCTTTAATTCAAACTTTTTATTTACATGCAAATATTTGTATCATTTTTCCAAGCTTGCCTTTGTATTTGGTGTCATCCTCAATGTCCTTGGTCCCAGGTTGGTGCGCGAGAGCCGAAGCGAGCAGTGGGGTCTGATCGTGCGAGAGGGCAATGATGGTTGCATCTATGTCCATGCCCTCCCATATGTTGGCATCGCTGCTCAATCCGGTCGCATCTTTCAAGGTCAGATATATTTCTGGTATTTCACTCTCTCAAAATTCCATTGATATGATATTGTGATGAAATGGTGACTGCTCAGCCTTCAGAAATGGGGCTTATCTGAGAAAGTGTTGAGAAAGTGATCTCTTAGGGCTGGGAAAGGATGATTTCAAATTTAAATCTGGAATTCCATTAAAAGTTTCAACAACCTGACCAGTTTCATTCAATTTCAGTGACTTCAGTCACTTTCAGAGACTGTGATGGGGAATGTCTTTGATGCCAATAAATAGGGAGCGGTTTGTGATCCTTAAGGCATTGTGTTTAGCAAAGCATAGTAAAAATTTGATCACAAGTTTTTATTACATTTGTCATGGAAACTGTCAGCCATATACAGTCAAGTGAATAGACCGGCAATGGGATGACTTATGCGGTGATGTCAGAGCATGGTGGTATTTCCCAACAACCTGTCTGTTTCAATATGGGTTGGTTGATTTTTGCAATGTCTTTTCTCATTTCACAATATTGGACAGTGCTTAGTAGAATCATCAGATTATAAGCACCATGGTAAGATAAGCTGCAGGTTCAGTCAATTCCCTTGTGATGCCAGGATGAAGCAGGAATGGATGAACCTCATCAGGTACATGAAGCCTAATGTTAGGCCTAGACCTGACATGCTTCTTTTCAAATTTCAACTTGGTCTATGAACAGCCTGATATGAATATACCTAGGATCAGGGCCTAATTAATTTCCATGCTTTTTAGGGCTACCTTAGTGAGATTTTTTCCTCATCCTGACTGAATAGGTAACATTCTTCTAGCAAAGACGTTCCTGTGCATAATTCCCAGCTTTCCTGCATGATGGAATCTGTGAACGTTTTAAATGAGGATTGAAATATCATCAGTGTAAATGCCTGCAATAGCTGAACAAGGCACAAAGCCTGTGGGACCATAGAGAAAATCAACAGCACACTTGGGAGTGTTTAGAACAGCATGTGCTTGCTGTGGTGCCCAAGATATCATCTGTTGCAAGTCATTTGGAGGAATTTGCCTTCATGTATTGATTTTGAAATGCTCTAAGAAAGGCCCACAAAGAGTCTTTGCTTTACCTTGGTATGGGGGACATCACTCAACATGATATTCCCCAGTTGGAAGAAGAAACTATGGCAGTTTTACATCTGCACAATATCCCTGCGTTGCATCTGTTTTTATAACCTTCAATGCATTGTATTCTGGGGTTATATGTTTTTTAAACATTTTTACTAGTGTCAGTGACTGCACTGATAACTGGAATCTGAACACATTGGAAGCAGGTATGCAACAGTGCAAGACAAAGTATGGGATAAAGTTTCGTAACCTAAAGGAAGAATGGGTATTATGTAGAAGTAGGAAAGCAATATTGTTAAATTCTAAAAGAATTTTCCAATGCTCGGTTTTACAATACTTTCAAATTATTTCTTTCATCTTGCTTCTGTTAGAGAAATTTTCTTTTTTAAAAAAATTTATTACTGTTTTGCATCATATTTTCCTGTCACTTCATCAGGAGATCGCATTGTGGTGGTGAATGGGGAATCTCTCGAAGGGAAGACCTTCGATGCAGTGCTGACCATCTTGGAGAAGGTGGATCTCATCATGGATCTCATCATCAGTTCTACCCAGTGATATCATCAGTGTTCAAATATGTTTGTCATCTGTGTTCATGTATTTTTTTCCTCTGAACTGGTCAGTCTCTTGTTAACCTTGAGGTTCCTGGACTTACATCTATATATGCCCTGGAGAAATACAAGTTTTTAAATTGGAATGTGAAGTCCTAGCAAAATCTTATGCTTTGCAGCCAGGCTTACAGAATGTTGTATCCCTGGATAAAAATGCCTTCTGAGTGAGGATTTCTTGGTGTTGTCCTTCGACTACTGTCGTGTAGGTAGCTCATGTTGCATCATAGACAGCGTACTAGTGGTAGTTACATCAAATAGGTTTTTTAGACTGGATTTCAAGTCATTGAGTATGTTACTGCCAGTTGTAGCATCATGCTAGAGTCATAATTCCACCGTAGATGCCATTGAAGGGCACATCATAGGGGGGAAACATTGCATTGCTTATTTTTGTGTGTGCATAAGTCATATGAATCAGTAAACAGATCTGTGTGTAGGCTAAAAAAAAAAAAACCTTCAACTTCGACAGTTGCTATGATCAAACTCAGAACAACGTATCAATTTCATGCTCATTGTAATCGTCAGGAATAATATATCCAAGCCCAATGGAAATCCTCACCTGTATTTCTGGTTTGCATGCTATTACTGGTGGGTTTTCATTTTAATGAACTTAAATTTTTTTTAAACGTGGATTGGGATGATTCGCACAGACAAGGACATATACCGTTTTATCCGTTGCACCCCGATGTCACTAACCTGGTGAAGGTGATAGTAACTTCGATGTCTCAAGGTTTTCACTGATTTCTGATGAAAAGACGGAAATTTTTCTTGGAATATTTCCCACTCCTGCGTAGTTACGTTCGGCAACATTGTTCCATTTCTGCCTTGTCCATCTGGCCCCATTCTCAAAGCTAGTCGCGGAAGGGGAATCCACTACTTCATCACCTCAAAAGTAAAAAATTGCACGATCGCAGTTTCGTTTGTGATTGACGCGATTGTTATCCGCTAGTTAAGCTGAAAACCAAGTGGAGAAATTCTACGACGCTTCGCTGCGTCGATTCCCCTTAGTAGTACGAGGTTTCCCTCATCGGCCTTCTTTCGAACAAGTAAAGGGATAGGATTGCTTCTTTTTCCCTTTGGAAATGCATACAACTCCCTAGCATTGAGTCTTGGCAAGGTGTGAAGAAAAATACAAGAAAACAGCAAAAGCAAGATCATGCATTCCTGTACAGATTAACCCTTTCCATGGTTGCGTCTCCATTTGGAGACACTGAATTCATTCAAAGCTCGTAACAGCATGTGCAGCAACGATTTTAGAAAAAAGCAGGAGGGAAATTGAAAGAAAGACCCACTTGCTCATGGCTGAAAGGCATCTTATTCTTCTGTTCTAAAGTGAAAGATTTATTTAAGAAAGTTCTGCACGTTCTGCATCCAGGCTTTTCTAGAGATAAACTCAGGATGATTTCACGGCTTACTGAAACATTATATGTTCGTCGCATGCGACACCGTGGATGTCTGAATTGGTGAAACAACAATGAAGACACGTGTGCTTCAAGTACGTGCCATCGCTTTCCCTTTCGACCAACTTTTCTCAGTTTTAAATCAGGTCCTCCATCGATTCCGACCCCAAGAAGAGATTTCTCCGAAATATTATTTATAGATTTCCGAGCGTGGCCAGGCCACCTGCCTGTTGGGTTTCTCCGGACTCGACGTCCCCCCACCGATGGGTCCGATCTGGATCCTGGGTGACGTTTTCATCGGGAAGTTCTACACGGAATTCGACATGGGCAAAAATCGCGTTGGCTTCGCTGTGGCTGTTTAGAGCTGCTGACGCTTTCATGCGCATTCCTTCATTTTCCCATATATTCCACGATCACTCATGTTAGGTATAAGCTTTCTAGAAATAAAAAATGTACTTTCCGCCCAATAGAAGTGATTTTTCGGCAAAAACTTTGCAATCTTTTTTTTTTAAGGATTTTTAAATGTAGAACTTCTTTGAGAACTTGTTGAACTTTGAGCGTATGAAATACGCGATACCATGATATACGCAACCATAACGTACATCGTAGCGATATCTTGTCCTTTGGTTTGTAGGAAACGGCGAGATGATATTCGTTTCACTTTTACGCTAATTTCGCATCTTTATTTCAGTGCGTATTTCATCAAGTTCACCGCGAGGAGGTTGAAATTGTTTACACTTAAATTGTTACTTCCAATACGCAGTCATATATTTTCGTCCAGGTCATGTGTCTTCATTGTCGTTTCACCAATTCAGACATCCACGGTGTCGCATGCGACGAACATATAATGTTTCAGTAAGCCGTAAAATAATCATGGGTTTATCTCTAGAAAAGCCTGGATGCAGAACGTGTAGAACTTTCTTAAATAAATCTTTCACTTTAGAACAGAAGAATAAGATCCCTTTCAGCCGTGAGCAAGTGGGTCTTTCTTTCAATTTCCCTCCTGCTTTTTTCTCAAATCGTTGCTGCACATGCTGTTACGAGCTTTGAATGAATTCAAATAGTGTCTCCAAATGGAGACGCAACCATGGAAAGAGAAGAACCAGTCACGTTCGCCGCTTTCATTGCAAATTGCAAATAGGAATGGACCAAAAAGGATAAAATGTTTCCCACAGCTTCCATCTGTTAACATAACAAACTTGTCCTGGTTCACGGCAGTGTTCTCAGAATATACTGTATACAGGGTGGATGGAGAATCCCTGAGGGATTCCATGCCCGTATATCCTTGGAACGGGTAGCCGTAGAAACAGGCGATGTGCATCATTTGAAAGGTTCTTTTTGTAAAGATTTATGTGACACACCAAATCATACATATCACGCTTTCACATGTCCGCTATCTCTATCAAAACACGCATGCAATCTTTTAGCGAACGCATCCAGAACTGCCTCCAATTGGGCAGGTGCGATGTTCCCGACTGCTTTCCCATTGCTTGTGCGCAATTCAGCCACGCTTTGCGTGCGTGTGCAGCATGCGCGATGTTCTTCACGTGTCCTCACATATGGAGGTCTCTAGGGATCAGGTCTATGGACCAGTGCGCGTCTTTTGGATGAAAAGATTCCAAACCGTAGGATGGAATGGGAGTGTTCATCCTATCGCCTCCCAGGCGATGTACGATTCCAAGCCCGAGATGTATGATTTCGGGTGTAACTTAAAACTTTACAACAAAAAACCCTTTCAAATGATGCACATCGCATGTTTCTCCGGCTACCCGCTCTCAAGAAATACGGGCATGGAACCCCCTCAGGGAATACCCGTCCACCTTATATTCTAAGAACAATGCGAGAAGCATTACTCGAGGCATGGGCCCCGTTCGCTTGCGTAGGGATTTACGGATTCTTAGCAGTCTCGTCTGCCTTGCTGGAATAAATTCCGGTTGGGATTTTCAACTGGAAGCTCGATGTTCCTTCGTTGTCGGAACTTCCGTCATTTCAACGACTGGAATACTCATTAGGAAAATTTTCAATTCGCAGGTATGATAAATCCAAGTCCCGCACATATTCATCGGATGGGTCGAAGTTTAGCATCGAGAACTGGACTGGGAGCCTGTCGGGTTTCTTGTCTGCCGACACGGTCACGGTGAGATTCTCAGTTTTTCATCTTCCACGAGGCATGGAGGCACCCGTGGGAACCTTGTGCAGTACATGCGGTCGCCAATGAGCTTGTCGCCCGTCGGCAGTGGGATTCGGCGCGCTATCTCAGGTTCGCCGGATATCTCAGAAACGGGTTTTAGAGGCGGGGATGCCATTTCAGTTGAATTATTGCTTTTCATTTCCAGTTACTCGCTTTCCCATCCTGTCCAATTATGACAGAGGGTTTAACAGCAGGAAACACTGCGCGTGTTCGTTAAAATTATTCTCCAAGGCTTTCAATTTTCTGCAATTGAATTAAAAATTGCCCTATTTTTTATACTCGCATTTAATACTTAGAAAAAAAATCCAGAGAAAAACCAAAACCAAATATAATCACTTAAAATCGAGGATATTTCAAGCAAACGTCAAAGACCTTTCCCAAACATAGAAGGTGTGGGGTAGGAGATGAATTCCTGGGGGAAAAATGAGATGGAACGGCATGAACCGGTTTCCGTTCCATTACAAATTTGCAAATGAGATCATTTAACTCTTCAAACTTCATGTTTCCCTTCGTCAAAAGGGTAAAGAAAAAAATTGGAGAAAAATTCCAGCAAATTCATATGCGGCGAACTTATAATGTTGCAGTAAGCCATGAAGGAATATGAAGATAATTGACCCAAAAAGAACGTTTTTTTGCGAAAAATCACTTCTACTGGGCAGAAAGCACATTTTTTATTTCTAGAAAGCTCATACTTAAAATGAGTGATCGTGGAATATATGGAAAAATGAAGAAATGCGCATGAAAGCGTCAGCAGCTCTAAACAGCCTCAGCGAAGCCGACGCGATTTTTGCCCATGTCGAATTCCGTGTAGAACTTCCCGATGAAAACGTCACCAAGGATCCAGATCGGACCCATCGGTGGGGGGACGTCGAGTCCGGAGAAACCCAACAGGCAGGTGGCTTGGCCACGCTCGGAAATCTGTAAATAACATTTCGGAGAAATCTCTTCTTGAGGTCGGAATCGATGGAAGACCTGATTTAAAACTGAGAAAAGTTGGTCGAAAGGGAAAGCGATGGCACGTACTTGAAGGATGTAGTCCTTTCCCTTCAGTGTGAAGTCCTTTCCCTGTAGAACGAAGTGGATGGGAGGGAGGACAGAGATCGAAGAGCAGTCAACCTGTGAAGAAAAAAAAAAAGCAAACTGATCCAATAGTATTTTTTTTTCTTTCCTGCCATTTATCCTGATAGAATGCCAGACTGGGAATTTTCCCCCATCCTCACCACGTTGTCTCCTCCGCGGTCCTGTCGTGCACCGATCTCCTCAGCGAGAGCGTCGATCTCATTCGTAGGACCTGTGATGAGGGACGTGCCGGTGTCGGCAATAGCTTGGCAACCCCCAGAGCAGTATACAGAGTCTTCACCCACTTTCACTCTGTTCACGAGATGAGACGAGTTCTCGGATCGATGAGACCGTAGAAGAAAGTCATATCTGAACGCGGGAACGACTTACTTGTCCATCTGGAACTGCCAATATCCCTTGCGTGAGACCGGGACGTACGTGAAGGATCCTCTGTAGTACTGCGAGTCAGAGCCTCCTAGTATGAGTTGACCACCCTCGGCNGGGGAAAAATGCCTTATTTTCACATTTTCAAACTCAAATAGGAGGATGAAATCTCATTCAAACTCCGAGGAAGCACCAAGTGAGTTTTTTTTTTACCCATTGAAGGGCTTCGGTTGATGCCATTGCCATCCTGAGATGGATATTTACCTGTCCATGGAGTTTTCCCGTTTTCCCCCCAAAGTTCGGGAGTGGGGGGGGGGGAGGGTCCGAGAATTTTTATCGCGAAGTCGGAGATGGTCGGGCGCCATTTTATATTATTATATTAATTGAGTTCGTATGGAATGACCCATATATTGTAGCCGTTCTGGTCTGAGTACATATTAAATTATTTCTCACTTAGATTCACATGAATTTTCATGCTTCCATTCGGAAAGTTGCCTAAACTTGCGAGAACAAGTTCCATGAAATCTTATTTAAATCAAAGTATGCATTATTCAATTCTGTTGGTATGGTAAACAAAAAAAAAAGAATTTAACCCCAGCGATCTGCAGGGCCAGGTGCAATCGGTGAAATTTTCCCTCATAATTCTTCAACAGAGTCATTGACATTGCTAACAACTAAGTTCGTTGGACTTTTTTGCCCATGTCGAATTCCGTGTAGAACTTCCCGATGAAAACGTCACCAAGGATCCAGATCGGACCCATCGGTGGGGGGACGTCGAGTCCGGAGAAACCCAACAGGCAGGTGGCTTGGCCACGCTCTGAAATCACCTGAATGAAAAAGAATTTAACCCCAGCGATCTGCAGGGCCAGGTGCAATCGGTGAAATTTTCCCTCATAATTCTTCAACAGAGTCATTGACATTGCTAACAACTAAGTTCGTTGGACTCTCACTGCAACTTTTTTTTTGCGGCACGAGCGAATATTGTAATGTGGGAAGAGGGTCAGTAGTTAAGCTAAAAACACTTTCCACGCGGTTTCCGAAGTTTCCCCCGCTATAACAACCCCAAGGTAAGAAAAATTCCGCAAATTTGAAAGGAAGTCTAGCGAATATTGTAATGTGGGAAGAGGGTCAGTAGTTAAGCTAAAAACACTTTCCACGCGGTTTCCGAAGTTTCCCCCGCTATAACAACCCCAAGGTAAGAAAAATTCCGCAAATTTGAAAGGAAGTCAATGAGACGCTGCCTAGGGAACACGCGAGAGAAAATTTTTCGAGCTGACTGACGAAATGCAGAGCGGTGAGGTTCACGCCCTGCGTTAGTGCAAAGTCGAGGGTATCTCGTAGCCGACGACGAGAGGGAATCGAGGAAACGGGGTAACTTAAGGGCACGTGCCCTCAACTTAAGGGCACATGCCCTCAAGTTACCTGTACCGTCTTCGTGCTCGGCAATGATGAAATGGTTCCGCTCAGAAAACATTCTCGGGCGTTCATGAAGTGTAAAACGTCCTGGAATAGTCAAGCGGTTGAAACAAAATCGTCTTATGAACAACGATGGACGGATTGGAAGAATGCCGTGAGTGAGTCCCTTGGACTTTTTTGAGTCGGTTTCTATTTCTCCGATTTCTCCATCCGTTCTACCGACGGGCACGGCCCTCCTTCAGCCTTACGAGACGGGAACGATTCTCGAGCCACGAGCGGTGGACGGAAGTCTTCGGCTTGCCTTCTCGATCCTCGGCAGGGCACGTCCCACGACGCAACGGGCGAACACAGCACAGACCCCACGACGCAAAATAAGAGATTCAACTCCATCGTGAATCCACGAACCTCACGAGGAACGACAACAGCGAAAGGACGCAGCTGCCGCGGGTCGGGAGCGAATGGCACATGCGCCTGTTGGACACGGGGTTTACACCTTCGGCGAGCTATTGCGAGCTATGGCGAGCCATTTTTTTTCCGGGACTTCCTCTCCCCGAGGGCTTACAGCCCCACCGTAGGTACATCATTTTGCAGAGATAGACAATCTACAGGGTGTATGATAAGAAACCCCCTGTTTTAAAATGCTTAAAACTCTTTCATTTTTTAACGAAATTTAATTAAACAAACTGTGAATTATGCACCAGTTAGTGAGGTTTTTATTCGTCCAATCTCCACACTTCCTCGCATGCTCCTGCATTGTCAACACATTTCCTTAAGCGAACGGGTATGTTTCCCACGGCTGATCGTAACATGTGTCGAGGCACGTTATGGAGAGCGTTGTTAACTCTTTCTTCAAGTTCATTAAGATTTCATTCAGTTCATTCAGATATCATTCAGTTCATTAAGATTTCATTCAGTTCATTAAGATTTCATTTAGTTCATTAAGAACGAGTGCCTGCACGAACTGGTTCACCAGAATTCTTGGAAACATCGAGTTAAAATTTTCAATGTTTTAAGGCGTTCGCGAGGTTGATGGTCGTCATGATTTGGTCCTGTCTGTAAATGAACCGGTTGTCATTAACTCACTCATCAATTTAATGAAGAAGACAATATGCGAAAACAGAGAAAATGAGAGTATCGCTTTCAAGCTCCTTTTTTTATATTTAATGATATGCGTACTTTATCAAATTCACTGGGAAGAGGTTGAAATTGTTTACCTTTGACTTTGAATTCGCTGTCACACAATTTCGTCCAATGTTTTGATTTTTGATTCTCCAACTCGGACTTGCACTAAGTCACATGCGACGAGCATATAATGTTGCACTAAGCCATGAAAAAAATATCTGAAGAAGATGAACCCAAAATTAACTTGTTTTTGCAACCGAGACTAGCGATAATGGAGGACCTGATTTAAAACAAAGTTGGTCGAAAGGCAATGCGATGACACGTACTTGAAGGATGTAGTCCTTTCCCTTCAGTGTGAAGTCCTTTCTCTGAAGAACGAAGTGGATGGGAGGGAGGCCAGAGATCGAAGAGCAGTCAACCTGTGAAGAAGAAAAAATCAATCAGATCCAATAGTATTTATTTTTTTCCTGCCATTTATCCCGATAGAATGCCAGACTGGGAAGTTTTCCCCATCCTCACCACGTAGTCTCCTCCACGGTCCAGTCGTGCCCATTCTTTTCGGCGAGGGCGTCGATTTCATTCGTAGGGCCTGTGATGAGGGACGTGCATGCCTCGATAGGTTTTCTTCTGATTAAGACAATATGTGAAAATATGGAGATGATATTAGTATCATCTCCATAATTTCATATATTCAGATGATGTTAGTATCAGCTCGATGTTCCTACGTTATCGGAACTTCCGTCATTTCAACGACTGGAATACTCATGCTAAACCCATGCTAAATGGCAACTTCCTTGATTAAGTCCTTTTCATGGAGAGCGAATGAATATTACTGAAAACTTCAGCTTTCTCAAATGGTCGTCATCACCCATGCCTCTATAGGTTTTCTTCCGATTAAGACAATATGTGAAAATATGGAGATGATATTAGTATCACTTCCAAGCTCCCTTTCTACCTTTAATTACGTGGGTATTTCATTAAGTTCTTCAGGAGGAGTTTGAATTTATTTACGTCCGACTGGCCATTTCGGATGCACAGTCATAGATTCTCATCCAAAACATGAATGTTTCCATGTTTTATTCACCGATTCGGACTTTCACAAAGTCACATGCGACGAACTAATAATAATGTAGCAGGAAGCCATTAAGGAATATGAAGATAATTGACCCAAAAGGAAAGATTTATGGCGAAAAATCACTTCTACTAGGTGGAAAGCAAATTTTTTATTTCTAAAAAGTTCATACTTGACACGAGTGATCCTGGAATATATGGAAAAATGAAGGAATACGCATGAAAGAGTCGGCAGGTCTAAACAGCCTCAGCGAAACCGACGCGATTTTTGCCCATGTCGAATTCCGTGTAGAACTTCCCGATGAAAACGTCACCAAGGATCCAGATCGGACCCATCGGTGGGGGGACGTCGAGTCCGGAGAAACCCAACAGGCAGGTGGCTTGGCCACGCTCGGAAATCTGTAAATAACATTTCGGAGAAATCTCTTCTTGAGGTCGGAATCGATGGAAGACCTGATTTAAAACTGAGAAAAGTTGGTCGAAAGGGAAAGCGATGGCACGTACTTGAAGGATGTAGTCCTTTCCCTTCAGTGTGAAGTCCTTTCCCTGTAGAACGAAGTGGATGGGAGGGAGGACAGAGATCGAAGAGCAGTCAACCTGTGAAGAAAAAAAAAAAGCAAACTGATCCAATAGTATTTTTTTTTCTTTCCTGCCATTTATCCTGATAGAATGCCAGACTGGGAATTTTCCCCCATCCTCACCACGTTGTCTCCTCCGCGGTCCTGTCGTGCACCGATCTCCTCAGCGAGAGCGTCGATCTCATTCGTAGGACCTGTGATGAGGGACGTGCCGGTGTCGGCAATAGCTTGGCAACCCCCAGAGCAGTATACAGAGTCTTCACCCACTTTCACTCTGTTCACGAGATGAGACGAGTTCTCGGATCGATGAGACCGTAGAAGAAAGTCATATCTGAACGCGGGAACGACTTACTTGTCCATCTGGAACTGCCAATATCCCTTGCGTGAGACCGGGACGTACGTGAAGGATCCTCTGTAGTACTGCGAGTCAGAGCCTCCTAGTATGAGTTGACCACCCTCGGCCGCGGAAGGGTCGCTGTAAAAAAAAAAAAAAAAGGGCATATCGCAGGGAACTTTCCAAAGTGTCAAGAAATATCTCGCCTTTCCCATCAGATCGGTTCGCACCGATTGAGGTAGAAGGAGAATACAGGCTCATCGATGAGGTTCTGCCGAACCATGTTCTCGAACACCGGCGTGACCTTATCGACAGAAATCGCCTTGTAACCCATCCCAAGGATGCCATCGAATTTGGCCGAAACGAAAGTGGAACCCGGTTGGCTCGTGGCTTCGGCAAACGTTTGGCCGTTCACCGTCACATCTCCGACCTGTAACGACCCAAAAGAGTCTAATGATTGATTCGTAAATCACGAAATCAACCTTAAGAACCTGGAGGAAGGATTGTTTTTGAAAATCCCCGAATCGACCTCACGGAAGAAGTGCTGATTTTCTATTGCGTAATCGGTTCATTACTTGAAGCGACTTCGGTTGAATACACCTGGCCAGGTCCCGTAGAGCCCGTTCTCCGGATTCATTTCGTGCCGGCGCCCCTTTCTTCCCGGGCTTTCAAACTTTTTCCACGCGGTTCGTTTTTCGTGGCTGGAAACAGACGGAGAGCGAACTCTCTCAAAATAAGATGAATTTTTGGCGATTTTTCCTTGCACCAGTTTTCGAAACAGTGTTCACACTCCTCTCGATGTGCCTAGCCCCATTTTTCCCCGGTGAATAACTCCCGATGGCAGCCGCTTAAGCATCGTCTTGAAGAAAAAACAGGGACTGAAAAGTAGAGCTTATTATACGCTCGACTTCGATCCTTCGGCCGTCATGAAAGACCAACTCCGCGGTGAAAACCCTAAAAGTTCAAAGAAAGTGAACGCGGCAGTCGAAATGGGACACCGAATCCCTTTACATCGAAATCGGTCGCGGATCCCTTACTGCAAACGCCTTACTGCAATTGATGTTGCCACAAAAATGGACCTCCCCCTTTACTTGGCCAAAGGGAGGGGGGGGGGAGGGGGGGAGATAGAACTTCCTCGTCCCTTTGCCAACCGACGAATGCTTCCTTCTCCGTTCATCGGTTGTCTTTGGCTTCACTTAAAAAATGGGCTGTGGTCGAAGTTGGACCTTTCCACTTTAATCCTTTCCGACGGCCAAATATCGATTTAATAAATGAAACGTGATCGATGGAAGAAATGAATCTGAAGTATGTTTCTGAGCTTTGTTGGAATTTTTTTTCACCCTTTTGGCAAAGGGAAACATGAAGTTTGAAGCGTTAAGTGATCTCATTTGCGGATTTGTATGGGAACGGAAACCGGTTCATCTCCTTCCATCTCATTTTCCCCCCGGAATTCATCTCCTACGCCACACCTTCAATGTTTGGGAAAGGTCTTTGACGTTTGTCTGAAATATCCTCGATTTTAAGCGATTTTATTTGGTTTTACTCTGGATTTTTTTTTCTTCTAAATATTAAATGCGAGTTTAAAAAAAGACAATTTTTAAACATTCAATTGCAGGAAATAGAAAGCCTTGTAGAATAATTTTAACGAACACACGCAGTGTTTTCTTCTGTTAATCTCTATGACATAATTGGACAGAATGGGAAAGCGGTAAAACTGGAAATGAAAAAGTAATAATTGAACTGAAATGGCATGCCCGCCTCGAAAGCCCGTTTCTGAGACAGCCAACGAACAACGAGCGCCTCGAATGCCGCTGCCGACGGGCGACAAGCTCCTTGGCGACCGCATGTACAAGGTTCCCACGGGTGCCTCCATGCCTCGTGGAAGGGGCGAAGATGGAAAGCTGATGAAAATCTGAGAATCTCACCGTGACCGTGTCGGCCGACAAGAAACCCGACAGGCTCCCGGTCCCGTACTCGATGCTAAACTTCGTCCCATCCGATGAATATGTGCGGGACATGGATTTATCGTACCTGCGATGAAGCCCTGCGAATTGAAAATTTTCATGATGAGTGTTCCAGTCTTAAAATGGCGGAAGTTCCGATAACGAGGGAACATCCAGCTCACAGCTGAAACTCCCAACGGAATTTCTTCCAGCGAGGCAGACGAGACTGCTAAGATTCCCTCAATCCCTACGCAAGCGAACGGGGCCCATGCCTCGAGTATTGCTTCTCGCAGTGTTCTTAGAATATAAGGTGGACGGGGATTCCCTGAGGGGGTTCCATGCCCGTATATCTTGAGAGCGGGTAGCCGTAGAAACATGCGATGTGTATCATTTGAAAGGTTTTTTTTTGTTATTGTAAAGTTTTACGTGATACCCCTAATCTTACATCTCACGCTTGGAATCGTACATCGCCAGGGAGGCGATAGGATGAACTCTCCCATTCCATCTTTCGGTTTGGAAACTTCTCATCCAAAAGACGCCCACTGGTCCATAGACCTGATCCCTAGAGACATCCATTTGTGAGGACAGGTGAAGAACATCGCGCATACTGCGCACGCACGCAAAGCGTGGCTGAATTGCGCACAAGCATTGGGAGTGCAGTCGGGAACATCGCATCTGCCCAATTGGAGGCAGTTCTGGATGCGTTCGCTAAAAGAGATAGCGGACATATGGAAGCGTGAGATGTATGATTTGGTGTTTCACATAAAACTTTACAAAAAAAACCCTTCAGATGATGCACATCGCCTGTTTCTACGGCTACCCGTTCCAAGGATATACGGGCATGGAACCCCTCAGGGATTCTCCGTCCACCCTATATACGAGGTACAGTATATTCTGAGAACACTGCCGTGAACCAGGACAAGTTTGCTAGGTTAACCGATTGAAACTGTGGGAAACATTTTACCCTTTTTGGTCCATTCCTATTTGCAATGAAAGCGGTGAACGTGACTGGTTTTTCTCTTATGAGCGATACTGATGAACTCATTGCCGTTGGCGTACTCATTTTCCGTATTTTCTTCCCCAGAAATGGTACTGTCACCATAAAACATCGCATATTTCTACGGCTATCCGTTCCCAAGATATACGGGCATGAAACTCCTCAAGGACTTTCTGTCCACACTGTATGTCAAGATTTCTGGTCGATTAGCTTAGGTGCGCCATCGGTGCGTTTTTGCCCGATCGGTTTACTTACATGGTTTGCATGGGGAAAAAGTGATACTCTTTCCCCACGTGCTCCACGCCTATCTCTGTCCAGATTGGACTATGAGCCCGTAAGGTGCATAAAGAATCCAGCACCCCTCAGCGTGCCAGCGCATGCTTCTTGGAGCAACCACATCCAAATCCAAATGAAACAACGAAACAAAGAAGAAAAGACTTCCGTCCTCCTCACTGCATGCAACATCGGCGGCGCCGCAGCTCTCGGAAGGCACCCAGAGGTTGGAGGAGCCCGTGTCGAACACGACCCGGAACGATTGCGGCGGGGTGCCGATGCTGATCGGTCCGTAATACTGAGCCTGGAAATGCGGTCGAGGACCGAATGAGAATCGTTTAGACCACGAAGAAAAATATCATGGAGCCACAGAAACCCCTTACGAAAAAATCCTATAGGATCCTATGAGATTTTATAAACGTAAAAAAATCGTATGGGATTCCTATACGATTCCTGTAAGAATCCTATAGGAATCCTATACGATTCCTGTAAGAATCCTATAGGAATTCTATAGGATTCCTGTAATAATCCAATTGGATTCCAATAGGATTCCTGTAATAATCCAATTGGATTCCAATAGGATTCCTGTAAGAATCCTATAGGAATCCTATAAGAATTTTGTGTTTTAAGTAAATCTTATTGGGTGCTATAGGATTACTTCCGTAAGGCACCGAATCGTTCCCTCACATCGAAGTAATTGGAGAGAGGCACGGCGACGAGCTCCGCCGCGGTCCACTTCTCGTTCCGCAGCTGCATCGGCGTGCCGGCCTCCCGCAGGGAGTTCCGCACGCTCTGCACGCGCTTCAGCGTCACCCTGCGTGAGGGCGTGACTGTTTTTTTCAGATTCGGTGGTGATTCGGAGGCATTTTTTGCCCTTAGTATTGACAAGAATAGAATCAGTCGTAATGCTAATATTAATCTGTCTCTATAAGCAAGGATCTCTGTCTGTCTCTGTCCATCTGACGCTATGCATTCGGACACCGTTGGAGATATCGACCTGAAACCTTCGCAGGAGGGTGGGCTCTGTCCAGTAGCAGGTCATAGGGGGGTCGGGGTCAGGGGGGGCGGCTCCGGGGGGGGGGGGGGG